CGAATTGATTATAATTAGAATTCGAATTGAGCTAAATTTAATTGTCGAGTATAAAGTATATATTCTTACTTAAACTTAATTATAAATTTAATTATACTAATTTTACGAGGATTCAAGTTGAAGTCAAGTTAAAAGTGATTGTAAAAGTAATAAAGAATAATTAAATTTAAAAAAAAAAGTTATGACGTCACAGTGAACGGGAATAGATAAGAATTAATTTGTAGGTTTAAGATAGAAGTGTTAATTGAGTCGAACTTAAATTCAATTTTTTGGTTTGACGTAATTATAATTAGGACTTGAATTGAGCTGAATTTAACTGTTGAATATTAAGTATAAATTTTTGCTTAAACTTAAAGGGTGGGGTTATTTTCACTCCAAATCTCCATTCTCACCCCATTTAATTTCTCATAATCAAACCACTAAATCCATCCTTTCTAGACCCAACTCATTATTAACTAAGCTCTCCTCATACTACATACAGACCCTTTAAAAAGAAAATAACGAAATAAGAAAAAAGAAATAAAGAAACAAACCGAAACAATAAAGAAAAAAAAATCAAGCAAAGATTAAAAGAACAAACAAAACTACAAAACGTAAAACCATAAGACATAAAACCAGACATGAAAAAAAAGTATCAACCACAAACACAAAATTGAACAAGAAAAAAAGTAACAAGTATAGATGTAAAACCTAAACAAGATTAAAAAAAAACACAATCTGAAAGCATATATATATGTATACACACACATAAATTCTAAATAAAAAATTATTAAAATTGACAGAGATATCAAAACATACCGAAAATAGTGAAAATTCATATAACAAATAGGAAATCAAATATATAATTAAATTGAGAAGTAATACTAACCTGTATCTCACTAGAAAAATTCATATTGAAAAAATACTTTTGTGAGTACATGAGATGAAATAGAGAATGAAACCTTAATTATGACAAAATATAAGGTGAGTTTACTTATTAAATGGGGTGTATGTAATATGGAGTAGATTTGGTTACTAATGAGGTGAATATAGAAGGGGTGGGTTTAGTAATTTGACAATCTGAAATTAAATAGGGTGAGAATAAATATTTGTGGGGTGGGAATAGTCCCATCTAAACTTAAATTTGATTGAATTTTTACGAATATTTAAGTTGAACTTAAATGAAAACTGATTTTAATTCCTCAATAAAATTTATTAAATTTACAAGAATTCATGTGAACTTTTTAGATATTTTCCTCACAAAAGTTACGAGAGCTCACATTGGAAAAATGATGCAGAGATAATGTTATGAACTTTAGGTAGAAACCTGCAGAAAAATAAATAGTTATATTTTTTTTTTAAATTTGAGATCAAGTTTATTAAAAATGTTAAAATTATGGATGTTTAAACAATAATAATTATATATTTTCATATTTTTGAATGAATATGTTGTTGTAGTTGTAGCGTGACTTTCATTATATAAAAGTTTGATTATATATGTTTTGCATATAGGTTGAATAATATCAATTTGATCGTTGTATTATTGAAATTGTATTATACATTGCATTTATTTATGAAAAAATATTTATAATTTTTACGAGTAATGTAGTGCCTTCAGGCACGGGCAATTACTAGTAGTGTATATATATATATATATATATATATATATAGTATACATAAATTACAATAGTATTTCTAAATTGAGATTGATGGGAAAGTGATTTTTCACTTCTCTACAAAACATTTGGAGTATGTGAGTTGGAGGGCAAAGACATGAATCCCACATTGGTTCTTGGAGGTTGGTCATGGATTCATCTTCATCTATAAATAGAGGAATAACTCCATCCTCCACTCAAGGTTTCAAGCAATCCTCTTAAAGAGGAGGCGTACATTATGTATATGATTATATACATAATATATATAGAAGAAGATGAAGAAGAAGAAATAAAAAGAGGGAGGCGACATTTGAACGCTCAAACAATGCTTCGAACGTGTTTTGCTCTCAGTACTTTTTTAGAATCTCAATTTTCGACAGACACTGAGATACTAGGACTTCGGTTGAATGCAACTCATGCTCGAATGTGACTTGCTCCCAATATTTTAGCAGAAATCTGAGAATTTATCATAATCAAGATACTGAGAGTTGAGTACGTTCGAATGTGGCAATCTCTTTCGAAAGTGATTGGCATTCTGTTTGAAATTAGTCTCTAACGGCTATATTATTGCAGCCCTTTCAAGGGAGGTGTCTTCTGCTATGGTTGTGAAGGTTTACACTCCTTCATTGAGAGATGCATAGAACACTATAAATAGGATTTAAGTGCAAGAACAAAAAATCAACAATTTAATCCTTCTTATTCTCATTGATTCAAAGTTTCTATATTTTCTGGTTTTCCATTCGGGTTAAGTTTTGATTCCAAGATTACTAAGGAGTGCAATTATTGATAATCTTAAAGTTAGACATCGTATTTTAGGGGTAGAATTTCTAAGAGTCCATCTACATTATAAATGGGGAAATTACTATCTCGAAGATAGCGAGTGTCGCACCTTGTCTAGAGATCTATCTTCTTCAATTTTTGATTCATTACTTTTCTACTACTTGAAATTATTTTATCACACAGTACTCTACAACATCTTTGGTATCAAACCCCCGAAAAAAGTTCAAAAATCTTACCAGCTTCTTTGTCTACAACATCTGTGTAATGATGCTTTTCCCTTGGATTTTAGTTTTTTTTTAAAAAAAATTTATTAATGAAATCAGAGAGAGGGGAGATCACCCTTGGATTTTAGTAACATCTCCTTTCTGTAGTTCTAGGATTCAAGTGCAAACCATATTTATACCCTGCCAGAGAGTATTAGAGGTCTTATTGGTCTCCAAACACTTATCATAGATTCGTGCAAAAAGCTCAAATGGCTTGCAGGGGAGTAAATATTGAATGTAATGTTATCATCACATTATTACCGTGACGTAGCGTACCTAATCAATAAGAATACAATTAAATGAATACAATGAACCTCACTTGCTTACATGAGATAATTTATTGGATTAAATGGGGGATAGTTAGTGTTTGGTGTAATTTATGTTGGAGTTGACTTCCATTAATTGATAATGAACTTTGAGTTTGTTAAAAATAGACTGAATTTATGGTCCAATGAGATTAACTAATATTGTTAAGTGATTTATTTCGATGAGCTTATATACATCCTATTAATAAATGTGGTTGAAACAATAAATTGTAAGCTTTAATCTAATTACGGACTGTAACGAGAGAGTTCGTTAGATTCATTATAATTAATATACTAAGTTCCTTCTCCATTTCATAACTTAATTTAGTTTGTCCCATTGAGAGTCTCCTATTACTTTGAAAAATTAGAGGGAGATATTGTCCGTCTACAAAAGAAATTTGAAGATCGATGACTCACACATATATGTTCTAAACATTATAATTTAAATGTTCGAAATTTCACGAATCGTTAACAAATTTTTACAATTTATTAACCTGAAACCCCATCTTCAAGATGAACTTTCAAGCTCAAATATTGCATTTTAATTTTTCATGTTTCGGTTGAAGCAGAAGTGGTTTGTTGTTGGTGGATATGTTAGAGATTCTGTCAAATGTGTTCTTAATTTTTGTGTATGTGAACTCTTGGGTATGTGGGTTTTCATCAGATGTTCTGTTAGAAGTGTTCCTAATGTGTTGTGGGTGTGAATTCTTGGGTTTGTGGTTTGTGGGGGCTTTGGAAATCTTCCATTACAATGGTTTGAAGGTTATGTTGGATGCTAGTATTTGGGTTTTCGGTCGATGTATATACTGCAAAATGAAATCTTTCTGCAGATATGTAAATATTACTTGGTTTTTTTGTCTTCTTGGTGTAGTTGGGTTTTCTGGGTTTGGTTGAGTTGAAATCATTGGAAAATCAATATTCATGTAGTCTGACTCTAAAAAGTTGGAACAACTCTTTGTTGAGTTTAATAGACAACTTCTTTTGTGGAGAAAATTAGGACAGGTTTGATTTCGTGCTTCGAATGGTAGTCTATTCTTATTGACAGGTTTGAGTTCAATCTTGTTATTGGCAGATTAACATGTATATTGATGTGTGTAGTCACAAAGATTTGATATTTAATGTTTTATATGCTATTTTGAGATGCGTTTTTTCCTTACTGAAGACAGTGTGAAAGATTTATTAGCACCCATGATTCTCATGATGTTGTGGTTTTTTGATGTTATATTAAGCAAATCGATTTATGTTGAATTCAATAAAATGATGCCTTTACTCCTGTGTTGTACTGTATATATGTTGGTCGGGGACTGGATCTCAGATATTGTTTTGGAGTCCTGAAACAATAAACTTCCTAACTGACTGGGTCTCCTGAAATAATAAACCTTTTTTTGGCCATTCAGTAATATTTTTGTTACAGGATTTTATTTAGGGTATAAGTTGACAACTCAGACTAATTTTTGAACTATTCTGAATTAAGAACCCAAAAAAAAAGGATTTGAACTGTGGTATAAGTTGACAACATAGTGACTAGTTTTTCAAATGACTTGAATTACGAAAAACCAAAATCATGGAAGAGATTGTTTACGAATGATGATCTGTATTTTTTTTCCCGATATAATATTTTTTGAAATCGTATTATTCCAGTGCTGAGTAATGCCTGAGTTTGGGATTTCTTGGGATTTTTTGGGATTTCTTGCAATGACTATTTTTAGATGCAATGCCAAGATCCCCCTGCCATAGGGTAATTGAAAATTGGTTGGATTGAAATTGCGACCTTCTGGATTACTATATTTTGAAAATATCCATGACCATTTTCTTGATCCTAGTGTTGTGGGAAACATGTGAGATTTTGTGCAAAGCACTAGACTATATATAAAAGCCGTGCTTTTAAACATATAAACTGTGCTGATTAGTTTTATTGGTAGCTTTTTTTTAATCTGTTGATATTTATGGCATTGTGATTAACATCGTAGGCCTTTTAACCATATACTTTTGCAGGCTCTTTGGCATTAAAAATCACAATGGCATTCTGCAATAGATTTGGAAGTCTCATGAGGCAGACCATTTCACAGAGCAGTGTGTCTAATGGGCAAGTTCCAATGGCATCAATGCTCCATGCTATTCATTGCATGTCATCTTCAAAGCTTTTTATTGGAGGTATGCGACCTAATAATGTTTACAGTGGGTTAAATACTTTTTCTTTAGCCATAAGACTCCATGTCACTGGGACAGTAACTGAATACCTATTTATTTAGGTCTCTCATATGGAGTTGATGACAAGTCTCTCAAGGATGCATTTTCCAGCTTTGGTGATGTTACCAAGGGTGACTTTTACTCTGCACTATAAGGTATCAGATCACAAAGCATGTTAATTTGCTTGACATATATGAGCTCACTACTGTTTTCTACTAGAATAATGAATAATAATTGTATATGGAATGCTTGATGCAATTATACCTTTCTAACATAGAAAAATGTTTCCAACTTTCCTTGAAATATGATCAACTTGTCCTGCCACTTTGTTCTTTTGGTGGAATATTGTCTTTTTGCTCGAGAGGAAAACCAGTGGAATAGTATTTGTATGAGGGAAGCAGCCAAATTTTGTTTGCAAGAGTATTTGTATAGCTGCTATATTTGTCTGATTCAAATCCATTCTTTTGCATTGCTAAAATATGACGACATTGATCCACTATTTTGATAATGTGCACCATATGTCCCCTTCATTTACAAGTAGTGACTGACTGTTTTGCATGTTAATGGTTTTTAAAATTCGGGGATCTGAAAGGTAGTTGCTTTGTTTCTTTGGATTTGCCTTTTTTTTCCCTCTTTGTTTCTTTTTCAAATATACAGCTCTTTCCGCATGTTAGTGGTGAATTTGAATAATTCAACCAAGATTACAAATTTGGTATCCGAGTTTATAATAGGCTGGTTTCTTGATCAAAATTAAGGGGTTTTCTCTACTATACAAAATGGTTTGTCAAGGTATTTTATCTTTCTTTTCTGGTCTGATTTTCTTCTCAAAGAAAAGAAGAGAGCTTATTATGGTCATATTATATTTGTTTTAGTTAAGATTTTTTATGAATTTAAGTGGTTGCATGCCTGATTCAGGCCAAAGACCCAGGCCTCCCCGCCTTTTTTCTCGGATGGAGCCTTGTTTTTAGTATTATTGTTATTGTTATTATTGTTTTGTTGGTAGTGGTATTTGTGTTTGGACCAATGATTCTATTGTGTTCAGTTATTATATGATTTCCAAATGACAATATGTGAATGGCAGTGCTTGAATACATGAAAATTTTCTTGGTTTTGGTGAATAGCGCGGGTTATCATTGATAGAGACTCCGGAATATCAAGGGGATTTGGATTTGTAAACTTCTCTAGTGATGAATGTGCAAGCTCGGCAATGTCAGCCATGGACGGACAGGTAAGAGAATTAAATTGATTAGCAAACATATGTATTCCAGAAAGAGTAATTTTTANTATCAAGGGGATTTGGATTTGTAAACTTCTCTAGTGATGAATGTGCAAGCTCGGCAATGTCAGCCATGGACGGACAGGTAAGAGAATTAAATTGATTAGCAAACATATGTATTCCAGAAAGAGTATTTTTTGACTTGGGTTCCTTCCTCTTCAGCCACTGGATGGGAGGAACATCCGTGTGAGTTTTGCAACAGACAGAGCCGGTCCTCCTCGAGGTGGTGGTCCAAGTAATCGTGGTGGGTTTGGTGATGCAGGAAGGAATGATGGATATTAAGTCAATGTTGCCTACGTTATGTTGTCTATAGAATGACTATGGCAACTAGTTTAGTAATTTAGGATGGTGAATCGTATGATTTTGAGCGGAGTTGATGAACTGCATATGTTACTAATGCTTTTAATCCCAGTTTTTGCCTGTTATTGCTTTATTTAGTGTCGCGTGTTATATCTAGCTGCGTTTTTTTATTATTTAAATATTGGGATTGACAGGTACTGTACTTTATTTTTTGACTGAAATCATAAACCAAGGAACTAAATTTTGTTTTGAAACATTTTAAATGTTTTATTATGGAAATTGAAACAAATTAATGATTGAGTTTTAAAATTTCTATGTTTGATATATTTCACGTGTTTCAGTATATTTTGATAATATAAACACATTTTCAATTTGTAAATTACTCTGACTTTCTCAATTATAACTTTTTTTTCCCCTTAACTATTAATGTTTTTTATATTGTATTCTTAACTATGTGATTAGTTTCACATTACCATAATTATAAAATGTCTATTACAAATTTAAAAAAAACTTTGTTTCATTTTGTCTTCTTAACTGTATAAATTTTTTCACTTTGCCTTAATACCTTGACAATTTTCGTTTAAAAAGAGATAACTACGGTTGGGGCAGTGTTAAAATAATTTGAGTAGCTGAGGGGGTAAGTGTGAAAAATTTAATAGTTCAAAGATCAAAGTAACAACCAGTGCATGGTTTAAAGGATCAAAGCGTAATTTTTCCTTTTAATTCCTTTCTTAGTTTCCATCATTTTATTGAATTGTTTGTCTTTCTGAAATGTTTTTATTTCCAATATGACTGAAACTATGCAGCAAAGCAAAGTATTTCCAACTCAAATGTTTAAACAATTTAATCCCAGTTCCCAAACTGCAAAAATAGGAAGCAAAGAGGTTATGTAACTAAGGCGGGATTTGCTGTGAAATGAAATCTGTAAAACAATGGGGACCGAATGAAATCCGAAAGTTGTCACCATTTCTCTGTATATTTTGAATTAAATATATTCGCCAGGGGTATTACCACAATATCTACGGTTAGATACAACACTACATTTGGCTATGTCTAACATGATATTGCATGGGATGAGGTACAAAGTTGACTATGCATAATTAAATTAATCAATGTGTCTGCAGTGTAAAATAATTAATAATAGTAGACAAAAATTGAGTGGTTAGGTCACTCAAGGTGGCAACAGTGGCCAGAGAATTCTATTAACGAGAGAATACTCCTCTTGGTTGGTTAATAGAATTCTCCGCCCAAGAGGAGTATTCTTAGAGTTTGGTGACAATATGAACTTTTCCAGTGTATCATTTGGAAGGAACTCATACACAACGAATCCTCCCAAGTGTTTCCAACTGAATTGATGAACTTGACCTTCACGACAAGAAGTATTTCATAAAAAACATTCCTTCTGTAAATGGTTCCCNACTGAATTGATGAACTTGACCTTCACTACAAGAAGTATGTCATAAAAAACATTTCTTCTGTAAATGGATCCGTAGCCTCCTTCACCCATTATGCCACTAAATTGATTAGTGATCCTTTTGATATTAGCATAAGAGTATCTTGTGGGGGCTTGAGAGCTATGTAATCTTCCAAAAAAATTTAATTTTCACTTAATTCTCTTTTTTATTTTTTATTCAATCATAGATTTTCTAAGAATTAGTCACCCTTGTTCTTTAGAGACACATTCTAAATCTGCTCGGGTTATGGTGGCAGTATCCGAGTTCAAAGGAGTAATCGACATAAGTCTAGACATCCTTTAATAAAAAAAAATAAGAACCGTTAAAAGAAGNAAAATGGCTTAGTGTACCAAATTTCTATAATTGTGAGGTTTGAAGAAAATTAGACGCTAAGGTCCACCCAAACAATTATAATTCTCAAGAATTTATTTACTTTATAGCTCTAACTAAGGCTAAATATTTGAAATTTCCCACAAAATACCCCATTGATATCATGTACAATAATCCCATAAAAATTGGTTTAGTGGTTAACATATTGGGTGAGATGTGAACGTCTTGAGTTTAAGTCCCATTGATTAGATAAAGCTCTTGTTTAGCAGATGTGCAGGTGATTAATGTGCAAGTTTGTGTTGCAACTATGATGCCAAAAAGCGTTTGGTTCAAACGATGGGAAAAATATATATATAATAAAATATCTTACAATTCAAATTTAAAAAATAAACAAAATAATTTTTATTATTCGCAGTTAAGAACGCTTTAAATTTTACTTTAAAGTTCATCTAACGATTAATATTAACACCCTAAATTTAATGAAAAAACATAGGCTCTTAAGGGTGTGTTTGAAATGACTTTTTAAATATACTTCTATAAATTATTTTCTCATAAATACATTAAAAAAAATAGTATTTAAAACCGTCTNGATTCCATTGCCGGGGAATGTATATATATGTGTCGTCATAGTGCAAATGCTAAATAGGCGTTGGGTTTAAATTTCAAGGGTTAATTGCACCGGGGCACAGACTTGTCTCATTTTAATTCTTAATATTTTAATTGTATTATTTTGGCCTCTAAAGCATTAAATATATTTTTACGTGATCCCTCAAGCAGATAACATTCAAATTGTTAATGATTTTTTATTATAAATTTGTTACGTGATACCTAAATATGGGTAAAAAATAATTTGGATAGTTCTTGACTAAAATTTGGGCAGCTATTGACAAAAAAATGTGTAATATAGGTAGTTTTTGACCAAAATTTAGATTTGCTTATGATCAAAACTGTGTGATTTGGGTAACACTTTGACAAAAATTTTGGTCGAGAGTTTTCCAAATTAAAATTTTGTTCATATTTAAGTATTACGTGACAAGTTTATAAGAAAAAATTTGGATCCTGTTTGCTTGAAAGATTACATAAAAATATATTCAATACTTCAGAAACTAAAACGCTGCAATTTGAGGACCGAAATGAGATAAACTTTATATTTTGAGACAAACCCCCCACACATTTTAAATGATTGACATAAGCAAAGGGTATGATTCGAAAGGAAAATATAAATGTTAAAGCTTTTGTATGTTTTGAATCAAAATTTAATGAAGTTTCTTCTAACACATTATGGATTGACTTAAATTTGCTACTACAAATGTTTCAAATTCGATGTTAGAAATTTTTCATAACCCAGAATATTAAATCATAGATTCATATGCATGGTTAATTCTAGGTATTATTGCATTTATAGTAGGCTTAACAGGTTTAAAAACATCAATGATTGGTGAACCAATAAATCAATTTGCAACCTTTTTGTAAAAATATTATCAGATATTTTTTTTCTCGTATTTCAAATATTTCACATAATACTCAATAGATTATTGGAGGTTCTTGTAATGATTTTAGTACCCACGGGTTTATCAACAATACTTTTTTAGAGAATGCTAATAAATTTCAAAATCCATTTCATTGTCTCAATGGAACACATCTGTCTTTTTGGTTGATGATACTCTAATAACCCTTTGGTTGAGTGTTGGTATAACATTACGTATTGATAAATTCATTCTGTTAATTTTTTTTATTTATTTTGTCAATATCAATGGGTGATTATTGCCCGAATAAGCAATGAAAATTAATGAAAAGTCAAAATTACAATACTATTAATATATCAAGAGGATAATATAAAAATCTAATCTTTACAGTTATAAAATAATTTTTTTTAAATCTTTCAGGTAGAAAATGAAATTCCCTCTTCTGAAAAAGTTGGAAAAAGGTGCCCGTAACATTCCACTTGCCTACGGTTTAAAAAAAGGATTTTTGTATTTTGCACCCAAAAAAATATATCGATTCCTACTTTATACCCTTAAAAATTATGTTTCCTGTATTGCATCCTGAATATCATAAATTAGTTCTAACGTGACCCTCGGACTAACATCAGTTTTAAATTTTGTTAAAAATGGATATAAATGCCACCCAAAGATATGAATTGTGAGTTTATATTTTTGCCTAAAAAAAATACACGTGGGTAAAAAGTGCATCAATTTTTAATAGAATCTAAAACTGATATTAGTTCAAGAGCGATATTATAATTAATTTATGACATTCATGGTATAATATAGAAAAAATAATATTTTGAGGTACAAAGTGAAAATTCAAACATCTTTTGGGGGAAAAAATATGAAAAGCTGAAAAAAAAAAAAGAGAAAAAGGAGAATTAAACCAGATCCCCTAGAGTTTGTCATTAATCACTTAGACTCTTGACATTTAAATTATTATACATAAACTTCCTAAAATTTGTACGCACGTAACACTTAAATTCCTGTCATCAAATGTCGGTTAGTATATCTACTAGTAAATTACATCCAGACCCTCTGAAATTTGTAGGCGTATAATACTTAAACCTCTCAAATTTAAAATATTATACTTAAACCAAAAATAGATTTTCTGGATTCTGTTTTTCATTCCAAACTGGGCATAAAACTACCTACAAAACTAGCTGCATCAATTCTAGATTTGGGGCATGACTAGAATCTCTTGTTGCGATGACTCATGTTGAATTTGTAGACCAATAAATAAACTGAGTCTATATGAAGTTAAATCTTTTAGGGAAGTGATATAATCCAGTATTGGAGAATTTTTTCATTGGTGTTTGTTTTCTAACCTTTGAAACACCCTTGTTAAGATGAGAAGTTTCACTCGGGCTCATTGGTAGGATGAGAAGTTTTAAAACTCTTTGCTGGCTAAGATCAATCTAAATCCAAATTCAACCCAAATATTTTCAACCGAGTATTGCCCATGTTTAAAATTTTCTCAATTGGATACGCTACTCATTCTAAAATTTGGGTTGACATTGGGTTGAGTTTGGTTTGATTTTTGGGTTTTACAACTCGGATTGAAACTTAAAATGACTGTATGCTAGAGTCTGGGAAAAGAAAGAGAAAAAGAAGTGAGGAAGAAAGAGAGTATGAAACAATGTGGTGTATACGGACATAATGGGAAACTAACACACTAACATAAATATATAAGTTTCTTTCCTAAATTTAA